TTAACGGGTACCTAGAGGCGATACTTGATAGCGGCGCATCAGCGATTGAGGTGGAAAACAGGCCGTCTCTGGTTAACCTGAGGGAAAGGGCGATTTTCGATCCGACCAAGTACTTCGTGGAGGAGGTTGTGACAGGGGTGGATGAGACCGACCTTTACCGCACATGGATCAAAGTAGTGGCTACCAGGAACACATTAGAGCGCAGTGCTCGTCTCGAGAACATGTGTTGGCGAATCTGGCACCTCACTCGTAAGAAGAAGCGGGTAATCAATCAAATGATTAATTGATACCAACATGGACTTGATTAATTAATCATATATTTACTATGCATTAAGTTAAAACAAAAGTAGTTTAAATTATGTTAAGTTTTTTTAACTTTGGTTTTGTGCATAAACTTTTAAACCTAAACTAATTAGGATCCAAGACGTCAAGTAGGATATTTTAATCAATTTTAATCATGGTTCTTAAATTTGCCTCGGCACCCGTCCAGACACTGGGTCGTGGCCGAACGTTCTGATTTCATTGAGATCGGTAGGAAAAAGTAGTGGGCTCCTGGACGACACCTAGGAGGGGAATGTGGTTCCTAGGTGGCCCTAAATAAATTTATTTCTGATCCAACTTATTTTCTTTGTTTTGTCTGAAGTATATTTCTAAATTTTATTTTTATTCTACAACAATAAAAATAAATTTTAAATATATAATTTTTTTAAACAATGTTTTGAACTTTTTAGTAGCCAAAAAGCACAAACCTCTTATTTCGATTAGAAAACTATTAATTATTTCATCATTGATAATTTTACTAAAAAAATATAACATTTAATAATTTTTTTTGCACATCATATTCGCTTCCGGCAACCAGCTTCTTACATAACATTTAATAAGTATATGAGCTGAGCTATTTCTATTGTAATGTTATTCTAAAATTATTTCTGACAAAACATTATAATTGATAGGAAATAAAAATAAAACAATGAAATAAAGAGAAACCCTTGTCGACACCTAGGCGGGCTAGCGCTAGCCGCTATGTGGCTAGTCACCGCCCGACTGCACTAGTGCCTTTTAGAATATTGATATTAATACATAAAATGAAGAGTTATGTACTAATGGTATATTATACAAAAAATCAAGTGAAGGAACATGTAGTATATTACACAAAAACATGGGTGTGTAATTGTCAGTTGCTCTCAGATTGATTATTTAAATTTTACTTTATATTCTTGATTCAAACTTCCACACATATAGTTTGTTTGTAGTTATTGTACTGAGCATCAACAATGACATGCTGGTTCTTTCAATGCAAATATGTAGTGTGGAGTATTAAGGCGACATTTTAGTCTTACTAGAATGCTTTCACAGAAAAACACTTGTGTTTGCTGCATTTCCAGAGAGTATTAAAATTTACTAATAATCAAATTGTTATACTTGTTTATTTTGTAGTTGGAATTGGAAGACATCCAAAGGTTAGCAAATAGGAGATGGGAACGGGAACAAGGGCATAAAGATGTAAAAGAGGATGACATGTCTGAAAACTTGTCAGAAGGAGATGTATGTGGCGGGGAGACAATTACACTTGATAGTCCTAGAAAGAAGATCCAACGAAACTTGTCCACTTTGGAAGCATTATCTGACTCTAATAAGGAAAAGAAGTTGTATATTGTTCTTGTAAGGTATGTGTGTAAATCAAATACCTGCACTTAAAGAAGATTTAACTGCTATGAATCAAATTTAAAAAATTCTAAATTGCTAATCCGTGCAAGTAGCTAGTTTATTTGTAACCAATATGTTTCAAACTTAATTAATGTACATACTCATGCATGTATCTCTTTTTTATTACAAGTTTGCATGGTTTAGTTCGTGGTGAAAATATGGAGCTTGGTCGTGATTCTGATACTGGTGGTCAGGTGACTTACTATATAATTATATGCACCATAGTTTTTTTTTCAAAGAACACACACTATATCTATATTTGCATGTAAATAAGCCACAATTCCACTAACTGCACCTGATAATTTGTTCATCAGATCAAATACGTAGTGGAACTTGCTAAGGCACTTGCTAAAATGCCTGAAGTATACAGGGTGGATTTGCTAACCCGTCAAGTTTCCTCGCCGGAAGTTGATTCGAGCTATGGTGAGCCTGCAGAAATGTTGAATATTGGTTGTCCATCAGAAGAAGGTGGTGATAGTGATGGTGGCGGCGAAATTGGAGAAAGTGGTGGGGCATATATTATAAGAATACCTTTCGGTCCTCGTGACAAATACCTTAGGAAAGAGGTGTTGTGGCCTCACATTCAGGAGTTTGTGGATGGAGCTCTAACACACATCTTGAATATGTCCAAGACATTGGGTGAACAAATTGGTCATGATGACGAGAAACAACAACCTATTTGGCCGTACGTGATTCATGGTCATTATGCTGATGCTGGGGACAGTGTTGCTCTTCTTTCCGGTGCTTTAAATGTTCCCATGGTTCTGACTGGACATTCACTCGGAAGAAACAAGCTTGAGCAACTTTTGAAACATGGAAGGCAGTCCAAAGAGGATATTAATTCCACTTATCGAATAATGCGGAGGATTGAGGCAGAAGAGCTTTCTCTTGATGCGGCTGAACTTGTTATCACAAGCACTAGGCAGGAAATTGATGAACAATGGGGACTATATGATGGGTTTGATGTCAAAATCGAGAAAATTTTGAGGGCTCGTGCAAGACGTGGAGTCAATTGTCATGGTCGTTATATGCCTAGGATGGAGGTAAGTACCGCTCCCTACTTGCTTGAAACTTAACATTAGAATCCTTCCACAATTATTTAATGACATGTAGATGTACTAAAAACATTAATTACATTCCTGTAGAAATATTGGGAAAAAGTGGCCTTCTAATTCCATTAGAAATTTGACTATCAACAAAATTATAAAGAATTTTAGTGTTTCTTCTCTTCATAGGATTACACTGAATTAAACAGAAGACCTATATATTCAAGTAGGATCATGAAACTCATATAATTCACTTCCGTTAAGTTTGATTATCTTACTACATATGAATATATAGTGTATTGGCAAAAGCTTGTAGCTTTGTGTCGGTGTATAATACAGAAACACACACAAATAAAGATTGCATAGAAATTGCTTTCAGGTTATTCCTCCCGGAATGGACTTCGGCAACGTGGTTGTTCAAGAAGAGGCAACTGAAATGGATGTTGAACTTTCTTCACTTACTACCTCTGATGGGTCATCTCCTAAAGCAATGCCTACTATATTTTCAGAGGTCAGCAATGATTTTGTACATTCTATTCAATCAAATTTTGTTTTATGACCACCATTTTCTGATTAATTATTTGTTCTATTCTAACTAATTAAAAAATTATGTTCCTGCGTATTCTTGTTTTACTAACAAAGTACTATCAAAATGAACATATCAAAGCATTAATATTAGAAATAATGAAATAAATACTAATATACTACGTATTAAATAGTCATGGATAAATTTGTAATTTTTTAATGCATGGTGTGACCATATTTGAATGGCTTAGTGACTATAGTGGTGTGGGTAGTGATCATTATTTAGATATATTTTTCCTTGATTATTATTTTAGTATTATTTTGGGAAAAAAAACCTCTTATTATTATATATGTATTATATATATTTCATGTACACTTTTCTCATTGGTAACACTTGCTGCAGGTGATGCGTTTTCTTGTAAATCCACACAAGCCAATGATTCTTGCATTGTCAAGGCCAGATCCAAAAAAGAATCTTACCACCTTGGTGAAAGCATTTGGAGAATGTCGTCCCTTACGAGAACTCGCTAATCTTGTAAGTAGGACCACTATGTACTAAATGTTGTAGTGATTGATAAATTTATAATCATTGTTAATAGAAATGATGAATGCTTTCAATACAGACTCTTATAATGGGAAATAGGGATGATATAGATGAAATGTCAGCTGGCAGTGCTAGTGTGCTCACAACAGTTCTTAAGCTAATTGACAAGTATGACCTCTATGGACAAGTAGCCTTCCCAAAACATCACAAGCAAAGTGAAGTCCCTGATATTTATCGCCTTGCAGCCAAAACAAAGGTTCCAAGTTATAGCTTGTACCTTTACTTGTTTTGGAGTTACTTTTAAGATGAAACTAATCATTAATTAAATTGCAGGGGGTGTTCATAAACCCAGCTTTCATTGAGCCTTTCGGACTTACACTAATTGAGGTTTGTCATGTGTCTGCTCTCTCTCTCCTCAAAAAGCATGATCTCCATTATCATCACCATGTTCCATACTATGTTTGAATTGGTGCCATGAAATTTAGTAGTACAGGGGTAAGACTGCGTACATCCGACCCCCCTTACCCTACCGTAGGTGGGAGCCTTTGCGGCACTGGGGTAAATGAAAATGAAATGAAAATGAAATGAATACTAATTGGCTAAAGTTAGTTAACACTATAGTTTCATTCAATAACAATCAAAATTATCATATTTTTTTGTCCAAACCGATCGTCATCATCATATTCATGTCTCAATGCATGATTAGTATTGACTATATTTTATACATGCACATCATGCATTATGACCACCTCCTTAAATATTTAATATTTAATAACATGTTAATATTTAATTTAAATATTGCAGGCTGCAGCACATGGACTCCCTCTGGTGGCAACTAAAAATGGCGGCCCAGTTGATATTATCCGGGTAATCCTCACACTCCATTCATCCTAGGAGTACCATTTACCAATTATAAAAATTTTTAAAGTCATTTTTTACATGGTCACATCCTTTTGTTCCTCATACATGATTATCAAACATGATTATCAAACATGTTTAATGTTTTAATTTATATAAAGAAGTGTGTTACAAATAGTCTATATATCAACTCCTGAAGGAAGTGGATATCTTCCTGATAATGAATATCCTCTTTATGTTCTTAGGTACTACATAATGGTGTGCTCGTTGACCCTCATGATCATCAAGCAATTGCCGATGCCCTTCTAAAGCTAGTATCAGAAAAGAACTTGTGGATGGAGTATCGCAAAAGAGGTTGGAAGAACATACACCTCTTTTCATGGCCGGAACATTGTCGCACATACTTGGCAAGGATAGCCGCGTGTCGCATGAGACACCCACAATGGAAGACAAACACTCCGATAGAGGAGTTGGCTGCAAAAGAATCATTGAATGACTCACTCAAAGATGTAAAGGACATGTCCTTGAGATTATCAGCTGACGGTGAAAAAACTTTTTCACTTAATGAATATCTTGATACAAAAACTGAAGTCGTTGATAGCCAAGATCTACAAGACCAGGTTGAGCGAGTTCTTGGCAAAATAAAGAAACCAAATGTTGGAATCACTCATCAGAATCACTATGAAGTTGAAAGGAAAGACAATATGCTCAACAAATATCCGATGTTGAGACAACTACATAAATTGATTGTTTTAGCTCTGGACTGTTATGACTCTAAGGGAAATCCGGAAATGAAAATGATTAGCATCATTCAAGAAGTCTTCAAAGCTATTAATATTGATTCGGAGATTGCAAGATTATCGGGGTTTGCTATATCAACTGCCATGCCGGTGTCAGAGTTGATAGAATTTCTGAAATCAGGGAATCTTAAAGTCACTCATTTTGATGTCTTAATTTGTAGTAGTGGCAGTGAAGTTTATTATCCCAACACCAATAACGAAATTGATGGAAAGCCCATTCTGGATCCTGATTATGCCACACATATTGAATATCGATGGGGTGGTGATGGTCTAAGGAAAACTCTTTGGAAACTAATGAATACAGAAGTTGAAAATTCTGAATCACTTACTTATATTGAAGAGAGTGTAAATTCAAGAAGCAATATTCATTGTTTGTCCTACTTGATAAAGGACCTGAGTAAGGTGATACACACACATGCATTTACATATGTTTTTATTTCAAGAACAAAAAGAAACACTAAGTGATGACATAATTGCAAAAAAAACTTAAAACATTACGTAACATTTTCTGTGCTGATTTTATAGGCAAAGAGAGTAGATGACATGAGACAGAAGCTGAGAATGAGGGGCCTACGTTGCCATCTGATGTACTGCCGGAATTCAACAAGGATGCAAGTCATTCCTCTTCTTGCTTCTCGGGCTCAAGCACTTAGGTACTCTTACAATATGTGTAGTATATAGTGATGTAGGGAAAATATCACATGAAAATAAATCTTTATTTATTATGGGTGAAATATATTTTATAGTAAACAATAATATAACTTTAACACAAAAGATATAACTTCTTATCGATTGTTTTAACAAATATGATTCTAAGAAAAAGTAACTAATACTAGTATGAAATCATATGTAGATATCACCCGAAAATAAATCTTTATTTGTTACGTGTGAAATATAATTTATATTAACAAAAGTATAACTTTAACAAAAACGAAGGTGTAACTTCTTATTGATTTTGTACTCTGTATAATTCTAAGAGAAAATATCTAATACGGAATTATATGTAGTCATAAAATTTAAGTCTGTGTTACTTTAAATTATCACACAAGAGAATGTCTAAAATAAGAATGAATATGGACCATCAGATTATATTACGTGAAATTGAATTATGCATTCGGTAAAACTGAAATGTGCATTAAACTGAAAACGAAATGTGCAGAATAGAAGGTAAACTCAATTGTGCATTACGTGAAATTGAAATGTGCAGAATAAAAGAAAAAAAATGTCACTGCATCATGTCTTTTCTTTTGCACAATTCAGTTTCACCTAATGCACATTTAAATTTAATCTAATGCACAATTCAGCTTCAAATAATGTCATTATGGCGTATGGCGTACCTATTGTGATGCACATTCCGACTTCACCTAATGCACATTTAAGTTTCACCTAATGCACATTCAATTTCACAAAAAACAATCTAACGGTCTAGATTCATTCTCATTTCTCTTCTAAGATCATTTTCTCATTTCATATATATATATATATATATATATATATATATATATATATATATGAAATGAGAAAATGATCTTAGAAGAGAAATGATCTTATATTTTCTCATTTTCTCATTTCATATATATATATATATATATATATATATATATATATATATAGGGTCAGGTTCCAATAAGAAGAATCTTTTAGGTGAGAAATGAGCATGAATCTCAGCCGTTAGATTCGACTATATTGTAGTAAAAAGAACTTCATGTTGGACTGAAGATTTATTTCCATCCCTAGGAAGAGTATATATCTTCTCTTTTGATGAAACGCACACAGTGCTCAATAAAGAATTATTTTAAGAATGCTATGCCTTTGTGTTTTAGGTGTTGCATTTCTGCAAATTTGGCATGGAATAGTTTTTTCAAAACCATATTTTATATAATTTCAAAGAGAGTAGCAATCGATTTGATTTTTTTCTACAAAGTATATTAATGTGAAAAGTGGTTGTATAGTATGCACGTACAAATAATTGATGTTGCGGATCGAGAATCGTTCACGAAAAGTAGATGAATGTTATCACATGGACTTAATGAATTGGAAAGTACTAATTCATTCATTTAGGGAATGGAGGTAATATCATCCTCTTTCCCTAACACTAATCCGAGCATAATCAATTAATCTTCATGCAACTTACTGATTTGCACAACTTCACTTAGCCAACACTTATATATCTTTAGGTACCTCTTTGTACGTTGGAGACTAAATGTGGCCAATATGTACGTGATTCTTGGGGAGACTGGAGACACAGACTATGAGGAATTGATAGCCGGGACTCACAAAACCTTGATATTGAAGGGGGTCGTGGAGAAAGGATCAGAGGAGTTAGTAAGAACATTAGGAAGTTGCATGCACAGAGAGGACATAGTTCCGCAAGAAAGTTCCTTAGTTTCCCATATAAGGGGGGATGCAAAGGCGGAAGAGATTGCTAATGCACTAAGACAACTTACTAGATCTGCAACAGCTATGTAAAGTCTTAGTCATGCTTAATTGAGAAAATTGTGCATCTAGTCTTGTAATGTCTGTCACCCATTATTAGTTTTATAGCTTTATTAATTCCCGAAGCATATCATGACATGTAACTATTATCGTTGCGCATGCCAAAGATATTTAGATAGTTATCTTTTCTATATCAGCGTGACTTTTTCATATGAACATTCAGTGAAAATGCTATTAATGGGGGCAAACTTATTCATTTTTTTAAGAAACTTATTCATTGAAGAACATAATTCGTGAAAATAGATACTGACAGAAAACATCTCAATGTGGTGTTTTAAATGAGCACTATATGGGCAATGCTCTAACAATCTAGCGCATATAATTCATCACATAATTGTTGATGAATGTTTGACTTGTTGTGAGTTCTTTAAAAGTGAGAAAACATGAAATATCCTGCAAACTTTATATTTGCTACTATATATGCACAAAACATGCACCCAACATGCACACATAAACTGGAGATTTAGATAGAACCTAACTCTTTGATTCATAGGGGTTTAATGCACCATTAATTTCTATATTTGTCTTTAAGATAAAGATTCTATCATTGGAATGTTCTTTAATAAAAAAATTGATAGATAATATTATTAATATATAAACAAGTATAACTACTTCTGTTGTATTTTTCCTTCTTGCAATGCAAGGGAGTGGGAAAAGAGGTGTGCAACATATTTATTTTTCTTACATGATCACACCTCTTGATGTGACTTTGGATTATAACTTGTTATTTCTTTATTTGTATTAAACATCTTAAATAAGTTTCTCCTATTAATTGATAAACGTTGAACTAACTAACTAGCCAAGGGAGGATGCACTTTTGTTTTGATTTCATTTTATAAGGACTACTTTCATTTTAGTTATTTAATAGACACTCGTGTGGTCATAAACTGAGGCATTTGTAACAACTTTAATATATGTATTAGATCAAATAAAAATCAGGCTTTGCGCAAACAATATGGTTTAAAGCCTGCAAAGAGTGAATTCATAATTGAACATCTTATATCTCGAGATTATTCTGAATATATACTGTGGAATTTATAAAATTAAATTTGGAAGTCAAAACTATCAAGATTTTTTTCAAAAGTATATATAACTCAAATAAAAATTACTTATAAAAGTATGACTGAAGTTATTAGGTTGTAGTACTGTCATCACTTAAGTGTACATATTTATAAAAGTATGACTAAAGTTACTATGTTATCATAATGTTGTCACTTAAATTAATTAAGTGTACTTATTATTTATAAAAATGTGATTAAAGTTATAATGTTGTAGTATTGTTGTAACTCATGCAAAATTGAGTGAAATGTCACATATAATGATATAAATATGACTAAAATCACAAATATAATTACTACACTTAAAAGGTCAATTTTTTATATTTTTTTTTACTTTAATCATAAGCTTATAGTTATTTCAATTATTATTAATTTATCATATTTATCCTAGCAAAATAAAAATACCGTTTTTTAATGTGGGATTTATTAAATAAAATATACTCCGTATTTATTCCAGCTGTTCGCAACAATCGCATCATTCTTTTAAATCATCGTCCATCACTAAATAAATTATATCAAATGAAATCCATATTTAGAACACAGTAATTATTTCTTCAAAGCTAGAGTGCTAGACTGCTAGAGCTAGTACTCCTAATGTAATGTACGAGTAATAAAAAAATCTCCATACTTTGCCATGACAAAAGATGGACTTTTGAGTCGGCGACAAAGATGTGGGGCCCACCCATCTTTTCAAAGCCATCTAAGAGCATCTCCAATGGGATATCGTTCACGTTAATAATAATTGCTACATCATCGATGTAAACATTTCTACTAGCATTTTTGTCTCCAATGCAGCTTGTCTAAACTCAAGTTATGCTTACGTGTAAAAAAATAACGTAAACAATGTTAACATGAATGTCTTTTGATAACATCATATTTCACATGATGACTCATCAATTTGGTGGAGAACTACCGAAAAAACGTTTGGGCAACACCAATAAATAAACCACGAACTGAAGTAGTGGGTTTCTCAAGCAACTCATTGCCGAATATGTAGGGGTTTAGTGGGTTACTCTGTATTTTATTTTATTTTATTTAAAATTAACCCTCCACACATATGCTTATGAGTTTGAACATTGACATGAAGCACTGGACCAAATTTTGGGAGTTCACCGTCTAATTAAATCACTCTTATGTGACATGGATGAACATTCCACTTATTGATTGCCAAGTGTCAAAATTTACATCATGTTAACAATGTACCATTAAAGATGCTCTAAAAAACCGTATATTATACTCGTATAAAAATATACAAACCATGGGTCATGACTGTGCATTTTCCAATCAGATCTCGGCCGCCTCTTTTCAACCCTTGACAACAAATAGTACACAATCGAGAAAAAAGAAAGGAAGACCCTCGAGAAGAAGTAGTAAAAAACAGTAAGCTTATATAAACTGCCTCATTTTTTCATTTTCCTTGGATAACTAATTAAGGCACAAAACATTTCACTTTGGGCGGATATTTTGCAGCCAAAATTTGTAGCGATTTTATTACTTTATGTTATACGTAGTATATAGATTATTACGGAGCATTTCTTTTAACTATCCATGTCAAAGTATGTTAAATATAAGTATTTATATCTAAGATATGTGAGTTGGAATAAATAGCCAATAAAATAAAGCCAGCTGTGAAATGCACCAAAGCAGGCTACAACGTGAGTGCACCGTAAAAATTTCCTCCCCTTTATTGCCGATTCAGTATTCCGCTGCATATATGTTTATATTTACCGATTCATTTCTCAAGTTCTTTTTTCTTTTTATCAAGCAATTCAATGCTTCGATTCTTATTTCCAAGTTTTGATATACAATTCATTTCATGATTATATCTTAATTTAATTTCTTCGTGCCATTTGCACCGCTTGGAGTTAATTCTTAGCATGAATATAATACAATACAAATGTAGTGTTAAACCATTAGTTTTACACGTATACATTTATATATGGTGCTAATTGAATCCAATTGTTACACGTAGTGGACACCTTAATTTTTAGCAATATGAAACCGTTTATGTCATTTATATGCTACGGTGCAATTTAATCCAATGACTCTATTAGCATACATGCTTATACGTATATATGCTACTATATTGTGAATGATGAAGTCATCATTTTAAAGCTTAATTGATATGGTACAACTGAAATGAATTGTGTATGTCCGAATGGAAATTTGATTGTGCTTTCATGATATTCTCATATTTTTCAAATATTGTGAAACGTGAATTAAGTCGTGGTTGATGATTAATTCTCAAGAATTTAATTGCCGGTGATCATATTTGCCGATTCAATTAGAAGTCAATTGTTGTAAGCAATTTATTTTTAAGTAGAATTATGAAAGGAATTTTCTTCGGACTGCGATGAAATTGTAAAATAAAAGGAGTTTAATATTTTAAATGAGTATAGAGAAACAATATGTCACCAAAGTGATCCTATTGTGTAAGTTGCTCGTATAAAATATTAAACATAGCATATACTCCGTATATAGTTCAAGTAAATATTAATCGGCCCAAAGGAAGATTAATATTTTATCAAGATATATATATACATTTTGGTAATAATAAATATATAACAATTATGAGGTTGCACTTTAAAAGAAAAAGTCAACCCAAAGGTGGAATTTTCTTTTATATGTATTATTGTTATATTTTATTGTTACAACAAGAGTACCGCTAGCAATTAGTATAATTGTCCAAAGATGATATACTAAGGGTGCATTTGGGATCTTGTGATGGGTTAAAAATTATTTTACAATTTCACTAAAACATATGTTCATTGTCCTTGTTCTTTCTACAGTTAATTTTTCGAGCATATCTGCCAATCTCAACTTCATCCATGTCCTAAATGGAACTAACTTTAAGGAATGGAAAGAAAATATTCTAATAACTTTGGGCTGCATGGAACTTGACTTAGCATTAAGGGTAGAGCAACCCGCTTCTCTTACGGATGCTACTATCCAAGATGAAAAAAGGTACTATGAGAAGTAGGATCGCTCGAATCACTAAAGTCTTATGATCATAAAGCGTGGCATTCCAGAATCTTTTGGGGTGCTGTATCCGATGAGGTTACTAATGCCAAGGATTTCCTTACTGAAATTGATAAACGTTTTGTTAAAAACGATAAGGCGGAAATAAGCGTGTTGTTAAAAGACTTTACTTCCAAAGGTATTCAGGAAAAGGAAATATAAGGGAGTATATTATGGAAATGTCTTATATTGTTTCTAGGCTCAAGACACTTAGGATTGAGATATCGGAAGATGTTCCCGTACACATAGTCTTGAACTCTCTTCCAATTGCATTTGATCCTTTTAAGGTTAGTTATAACTGCCAAAAGGAGAAGTGGTCTCTTAATGAGCTCATTTCATATTGCGTGCAAGAGGAAGAGAGGATGAAACAAAATAAGACTGAAAGTGCTCACTTGGTTAGTACCTCTAAGGATAAGGGTAAAAAGAGGAAGAAAACTCCCATTAAGAATGAAGCTGCTAAGGGTCCAGTACAGATGAAACATAAGGAAGGTAAAACAACCTGTTTCTTCTATAAGAAGTCTGGACACATGAAGAAGGATTGTACCAAGTATCACGCATGGAAAGTGAAGAAAGGTACGGTCCTTGCTTTGGTTTGTACTGAAAATAATTTAGCTTCGGTGCCTAGAAATACTCGGTGGTTAGACTACGGTTCAACATCTAACATCAGTATTTCTATGCAGGGTTGTCTGAGCCACCGCAAGCCAAATGATGCTGAAAGATGTGTCTATGTGGGAGATGGCAAAGCGGTGCATGTGGAGGCTATTGGGCATTTTAGATTGTTATTATCTACCGGTTTCTATTTGGATTTAAAAGACACTTATATTGCTCCGTCATTTAGGTTGAATTTGGTTTCTGTTTCTTATTTGGACAAATTAGGTTATCATTGTTCCTTTGGAAACTTCCGGTTTAATTTGTCTTTAAATTCAAATATTGTGGGGACTGGTTCTTTTATGTCATATGACAATCTTTACATGCTTGAAACAATAACTTCATATAATAATGATTTGAATGTTGACACCTGAGGCACTAAGCGAAAGGTTGATAATGCACAATCTGGTTTTTATGGCAC